TGTACACACTATGACATTTTAATGCTTATTTCTTATATATATAAATATGGTACTCGCCACTTACTTTCTAAACCAACGTTACTTAGTTATGCTTCGTATTACTCTTCATTACTCTTTATTACAAATCCACACTTTTTCCTCCACGATTCCTTACGCGCGTTGTAGCATGTCTGATGCGTATGATGTGTGTTATCTACAATGTCAATGACATACAAAAGTAGTTGCTCTGAATATCTTCGATATATATTGTTCAATTGTCGCACAGTCGTTTTACATGTTAAATAATTCATGAACGCCTAAGCTTCACACAACTGCAATGTGTAATCCTATTAATGAATGCTACTCGATACGCAATGTATTGCATAATGATTCAATCGAGGTGTTGAGCATCTTTAGAGAATATGCGCATATGTCTAATGATATTTAAATTAAAATTTCACTTAAATTAAATCAAATTTTATTAATTGGATTAATCAAAAGTATTATTTTCGCTGCACTATTCGAATATTTCAGCGCAATTTTATATTTTTTTAAAATAGATACGTCTCACTCTTAATCATAGAATATGTAATATTTAAATTAAAATTTAATTTAAATTACATTTTATGAATTAATTAAAAATCATTAATATTATCTTTGCCCGATTACCGGATTATTAAACTTAAATTTGTATATTATATTATGAAATAGGTACGTCTCATACTTAATTACACAAGATTCATATTTTTAATATTAAATATTAAATTAATTATATATTAAATTAATATTAAATTAAAATTTAACTTAAATTACATTTTATAAATTAATTAAAAGTCATTGTATTATTTTCGTTGCGCGGCTTGTATTTTTGAGCAACATAAGTGTATATATTTTAAAATAAATACGTTAAGATAATTTATTAAAATTGTTAAAGCTTTTATAAAATCAATATTTGCTTCAAAGTAAATATAATGTGTCTTATATTAAAATGATTCAATTTCCTTTTATACCGAAGGAATACAGATACTTGTATGTGATATGTCTTCTTATATACAATATTCTGCAGAGATATGTACAATATTCTGCACTATTATTTTTCCAAACTGCATCCATCATAATTATTCCAGAGTATACTTAATCAACATTAATTATCGATGCTCACACTATTCAATTTGGAGTATTTAAGCTTGCAAAGCCGTTCTATTTACAAAGTTAATTGCAAGCAATTGTGCTCGCCAAAAGATGTCAATCTACTGGAAGGAAATTATATTATATCGAAAGTAGCTAAAATGTCATACTAAATAAAATAGAATCATTAAAGGAAGGCTGCTAACTTAATTATCTCTACGCGGAGAGAAAGAATTGATCAATCTCTTTATTTCCATAGCAAATTATTCTCGCATACTTGCGTAGTTTATTTGCCATTTTTATTCTATTTTTTTTTTGGTTTCTCAATGCTCGGATAACAGCTCTCTTTTTAATAGCAAGAACTCGATCTCTTCTTACAGTTTTGCTTTATTCTTCTATTGTTTTTTTTTTATTGCAGTCTGCTTAACCTATTTCAAAACTCTTTCATAGTCGATATTCAATAATAAGCTCTCTATTTGCATACGTATACATACATCAGTGAACGAAAACACAAAGCGCCACGTGCAAGCTCTGCATCGTGATATTGTACTGTGATTCAGACCGTACAGGGTGTCCCAGTTTATAGAATGTGTTATCCAAAGCTCTGACAGCTTAAGTGAAGCCCTACGAATATTTGCATCGATTACGAAGCAAATATTGATACGTTGCGCAACGTTAATAGTTAATAATACGGAAATTGCAGTTATAACTATCGGTTGCGTATTCATAGAATAAATTGATGCAGTCTCTTAGTAAATGATGGATGTCTTAATAAATAATTCACGCGCTGTCAAACACCTTAAATGAATGTTATTTCGCGAGTTTATCTGATATTGTCGAGGAAGTGTATCTATTTTATTTTACGAGAAGTGATATTCTTCGCTAGACCTCGTATAACAATGTGACAATATATGAATGTTTTATCAGCCTATTCTAGTATGTACAGTACGTTCAGATTTAGAGCATAATAAAGTGAGATCTATTCACACGCAGTACATTGACCACTCGGAATTTATTTAAGGATGCCAAGAGAGCCTCCTCAGTCTTGTACTTATTACGTATATTATATACAGATTATGTGATATACTCTCTGGTATTTGTTATTTTAAGAAAAATAGGATTACTGAAATGTTGTGTATTCTCTTTAAATATTTAATTTTTATATTCTTCCCGAAATGTGAATTGAAATTCTAAAATTAATTGCACTCTACTTTATAATCTTAGAAAAAAATTTATAAATAAATAATTATTTATTTCGTTTTGGAACGAAATTTGTAAAGAAAAAGATTAATAAATAAATAATTGTTGTTAATTAGCAAGATATAAAATATAGGATAAATCAATTTATTAATTTGATATTCTGCAGGAAGAAAATCGAAGAAATACCGATGTGACAATGTTACATGTGTATACATACTGCCT